AGGGAGGGAGGGAGGGAGGGAAAACCAACACTGATCTCTCTTAGGAAATCATTCCTCCCAAGAAATCAAAGTAATCTGCTCTTAGATCTGGCACTGACTTTTCTTTTAGCCAAAGATAATTCTTATGAAATAATTAAGAACGCAGAGCAAAAACAAATAGCCAATCCTGTCTCACCCTGAAGGACATCAACATAGCTAGGGTCCACTATCTGGGGGTGGGTTATGAACACATCACCAGTAAGGTCACTAAAAGCATTTTCAAAATAGGCCAGTAAACTCGAAGTGATTACATGCTCCTGAAAAGCCTGTGGAAACAGAGGACATAATTAATATGTTGACAGTGAGCACTACGGCTTGTCTGAATGTCCCAGAGCACTCGAGCAAAACACGGTCATGGCAGCCTGACAGGGAGGAAACACGCCAGCATCTGTGGAAGACAGTCCTCAGCATCAAGAAGTGTGCCGGATTTTGTTTTAGAAGAAGCAAAGGCCTGGGAATAACTGAACTGGGCCACTTAACATTAATTTCTGAATACTTCCAGGTATCTCTTAAGTTCATCAGAAGCTGAACAACAATCCAAGCCTGTTTCTCCCTATTTTCATGCCAAAGCCAGACCCTGGGATTGATTAATTTTGCTCTTTTCATTTAGTCACCTTCTTGATGAAGAGACAGAAACTAGGAATGGGGACTCTACACATCCCACCCAGCACAAGGGAAGGCAGGCTAACCGCCAGGAGATTTCCATTTGAATTTCCTGATCATTGAGACATCCTCCCATTAGGAGGAGTGATGGCCTTATTTTTCTGTTTGATTATACTTTGGTCAATCAAGCTCTGAAACTGTGACAATATTGCCACAGATAATATTGCCAAAAGCACTGGGGACAGCACTGATTCAGAAAAGAATGTAATGTTCCATAYGGTCCCAACCCTCCAAAATACGTGGAAATCAAATCTCTAAACCAAGTTTCTTCTTGTTAGATATTATTTGAACAGGTGGATGCTACATCTAATCTCAAACATTTGGTGCAACCTTCCCTAAGAAAGTATTTGGTCAAGGCTGCACTTTTATCTACTTTCTATTAAAAAAAAAAAAAAAAAAAAAGGACCCCTGAGCAACATAAACAAGAAAAAGAGAAGTTTCGGTTTATAATATGTATACTCTAACCACCATGTGCAAAAAAAGGAATGACTACTGTCTGCCCCATGTGCTCATTAATGCTTGGAGCCCAATTTTTCCACAAGTGGACAAGGTCACTGACCCATAGAAAAGTCCACCAGGATTCTTGTATATCTTTCTCCAATTGAACTATTTTTACTTAAGCTTTTGAATGACCAAGCATGGACATAAGACTCATATGCATGCAATCATTCTGGTTTCCCAGCCTCCTTCAGATCCCCTCCACCCAATTCTCTCTCCTGTCAGAGTAAAATCTTTGGGAAAGACTCAGGCTTAGTAAACAGATGGTCATGACACTTTCTCCCCAGGAAATTGCAACTGAACATTTCCAGCAAATCAAACGCTGCCTATGGGATTTGTATGGCCCTTGGTACACAGGCTAGCAGAGAGGTGTTCATTATGGCCCTTTCTCCTGAAAAGAAAACAGAGGTCCCACAGGAAAGCTCAACATGGTAAGCTAATAAAACAGCTCTGAAGCAGCAACACTGAGAAAAGCAGCCTTGCTGGAAACAGGGATGCAGCCTCGTACTGTGAAAAAAGCAGAGGCTCAGGGAGCAGCAAAATGGAAGCAGCACCACTTAATGACTGGGTCACCTTGGACAAGTCCCATTAGTTTCTAGTTCTAAGCATCCTTGTCTGTGGAATTGGGGTTGTAATAAATATAACAACAGGGGTTTCTGGTGCTTAGTAGTCATGATATAGATTTGCAATCACATCTTTCAATCATAAACACTGTAGGTCAGGGGTTACACTAACAGCTGCGGCTACAACGACAGACAATATTCCCATTCTCAGGAGCTTACATTGTTGGGTATTTGAAAAAGTACCACTTGCATGGGACAGCCACACACAATATAGTTGCCTTTTCTCTTCAGCATCTTTGAATTTCACTATGTAGTCTATTACATAAGAGTAGGTGACACTATTTGAAAAGTCTTGCTCCAAGTCCCAATCTGCTCTCTTCTCACCTCTTACTCTGCCTCATTCTTTGCATAAGATAACTACTGCACCTGGCTAGTTAGAGCAGCTTCTGATGAGATTTAGGAGGACCCAGTGGCTAAGATGCTGATTCCAGCTGGAATTGTACACTGTACCATCATCACCTTAAACACTCAAGTCTCAGTCCCACCCACCAAAACCTGGACCTCAATCAGGCAGGTTCAGCATTTGTTGAAAAAACAAATCACATAACCCACTGATAAAGCAGAGCCCTCCTGCATTTGGGGAAGATGTTCACTAAAACCTTAACAGATACACAAACAAATTTATACCCCTGAAGCTATTTGCTAACCTAAGGATTATGAAAAATTAAAAGTTGCCCTCAGCATAGCCCCCCTTCATTTCTCTCTAGTCACCTAAATTGTACTGACCCCAACATGGTCTAAAYCCTGGCTTCCACAACCAGTCCTCCTCCACGGAGAAAAGATGAAGTGGGATTAAGCACTCCAAGGCTAACAGGATGAAGAGGCCACTGCCTACAGCCCTGCTGACAGTGTAGCAGAGGCTGTGATTCCTTGGAAAGAGCTGGTGTGTCCTCTCCTGACACATAAGAACTTACTGGTGGATGCTTATAAAGGGATGCTGAACCCAGGCAACTCTGAACTTAAAGTTTACTGCTAAAAATGGTCCCCTTCGGAACTCCCCCTCCACTCCCCCACCCCCACATACCTTGCTCTCTGGAGCCTCAAAGAGGCAATGAGTGTTCCTAGCTCTTTCTGTAATTGCAAGAGGAGCAGTAAGTTCACAGCCTGGACAAATGCACTTTCTGGAATGGACACACACCTGCATGTGTCTGGCAGAGTTGGGTGTCAGTGGAACACCCCTTTCCTGCAGGTGAGACTGAGCACGTGATTGGGGGGAGGGTTGCAGTGATGGCTCTCCCCTAAAAAGGCATCAGTGAAGACAAGCAAGACTTGTAGAAACAAGAAAAGCTAAGTGGAAGAGAAGGACCCACAGGTCTTACTGCTCCTTTCAGAAGTTTTCCCAAGTTCTCAAGACCTAATGAATGCTGGGTCAGGAAAATGAAGAGCAAAAGGGGTAGAGAGCTTGTGAAGCTCAGGGAGTAAGGGCTCTAGAGGYGCCACCCAAAGCTGGACCGTCCGAGGAGCGCCTCCACACCTGCTGCCCAGTCCCCTGCTCACCTTCAGGTAGTCGTTCTCCGAGCGCAGCTCTTCCATCTCCCGCAGCAGCTCCTCCTCCTCCGCCACTGGGACCGACAGGAGCCGGGGCTGCTCAAGCTGGCTGGGCTCCTTGAGAATCGCAGGGACAGGTCGCTCAGGCAGCACGCGCCCCCCAGCATCCTCTACCGCACCGAGACCCGGGGACCCCGGGGGGATCCCGCCTGGACTGCTTCGGCCCCCGAGACAGGAGACCGCGGAGAGGAGCGCTGGAGGCTCCGGGCTGCCAGGCGGTGCTCCCCGGGCTGCCGGGCTCGGCGTGGGGGCTCCTCGCAGGGGTTCACGGTCACTGGAGCCGGTACCGGACTCAGCGTCGCTGCTGGCTGCGGGGAGCAGACGCTGCTCATCCGACAGAGGTTCAGAGGGGCAGTCGGAGAGATCTGAGCTGCTGTCCGTGTGGCTGATGCGCGAGCCGGGGGGCACTGCGCCGACAGCCGAGGTCACAGAAAGGGTCACGGCGGGAACCGGGGCAGTCAGGGGCATGGAGCCGATGGCGCGGCCAGGAGCTGCTCCCAAGCCGCGCTTGGATTTGCGGCCCTTGGCAACAGCGGATGAGGGTTCGGCCACAGGAGGCTTCCCGGCCCGGGGCAGAGGCTCAGCAGGCACCGTGCGCGCCGCCCTCCTGGTTCCTGGGGCGGCCTTGGCGCCGCCTGCCGCTCTGGCCCCAGCGCCCGGCGGCGGCTTGTCCTTCGCGCCGGGGACGCCGCCGCTTCGCCTGGAGAGGCGGCCGGGCGCGGCCAGGGATCCGGGCGAGGGCGGTGCCCTGCCCGCTAGGCTGGGTGAACGTGGAGCAGCGGGTGTCGGGGCTCGGCCAGACGAGGGGGCAGCCGGAGCCGGGCCCGGCATGGTGGTCCGGGTGTGCAGATCTTTGAGGAAGGGTCTGGCGGGCGAGGGCGCGCGGTGCAGTCGCCTCCTCTCGGCCAACGGGTGGAGGTGGTGGTGGCGGTGGTGCTGGCCAGGCGGCTGTGGCTTCGCGTCCGGGGCGCCGCCGCCCGCGGGGCCATTCAGCGTCTCCATAACCGGTGCCGTGAGCAGCAGCTTGGGCAGCAGATGCTCCGAGCGGCGGCGGCGGCGGCGTGCAGCCTCCCCGCGCGCTCGCTCATCACTGTCCCCCTGCCCCGCCCGGTCTGCGCCCCGCGCTCCCGCCGTCCCCCCCTCCGCCCACTACACACACCCGGCCCGTGAGTCCCGGCGGGACTCGCAACCGCTGCCGCTCCGCTTTCCCCTCGCTGAGGTCAATGCCGCTTGAGTTCTCCGCGAACAGCCGCAAGGCGGCTCAGGATCCCTCGCATCCCCCTGGAACCTGCGCTCGGGGCTCGTGGGTACGCCGCCGCGGCCTTGCTCACCCGCACTCGTCTGGCGATGGCGCGCACCCGGCTCCCGCGTCCTGCTCCCGGCCCACTGCCCGCCCGCACCCCACGGCACCCGCCCGCTCCGGCCCGCGCCCGCCCGCGCAGCTCACGGCGGAGAGAAACTGCACGCGCGTTCCCCGCCGCCCCTCGCCCAGCGCCCGCCGCAGGGTGCGCATGCCCCGCCTCCCGCCAGCCGGCGCCCGCGAGGGGCGGGGCCTCAGCTCCCAAGGGGCGCGGAGTCGGCGGCGTCCACGCGCTCTTGCAGCCCTGGGACCCTCCTTGTCTTTTGAGGCCATGGAGACACTGCCAGGAGCTGGGGAGATAGAGAAAAAGCCGAGTGATGTAGGGGGAAGGGGTCGGGCACTCGCCACTTTGACGAAGATTGAAGTCCAGGAGGTGTCGGTGGGCCCCACTGTGGTGTGTGCCTTGGGTCGTCCATTTTCTATTAGCTGACCAACGCCCCCCACACCCCGACCCCTTCAGTCAACCCCAACCCCTGGACCCCTCAGTCCCCTCCCACATACACTGTGCTTTCCAAGCTGTGCTCAGAGTCCCCGCGCTCCTTTAAGGATCCCTGGTACCCGAAACAGCTATCGCGTAAAGACGGGCACAGCGCTCCACAGTTGGCACCCCCAGTGGCTCCGGGAGCTCCTAGAGGGAGGAGCTGCTGTAGAAATAGGAGAAGCAGATCGCCAAGCTTGGGGTCAAAAAGGGAACTCACATTTATAGTTCCGGCTGAGAGCCAAGCACTGTTAGACACTTTCATAGGCATTGTTTTATTTAATTTTCCTAACAATCCCGAATCGAAATTCCTGTCTTGATTAAGGATGAGGACATGGGCGCAGGGTGGTGCAGTCGCTTGTTGGGGTGTCTTAACCATGGCTGAGCTGGAATTCAGCTAGGTTCAGCAGGACTCTCAGTCCCATACTTTCCTCTCAGACCTGCACCTCCCCTCTTACTGGAGTATGAATTCTGCTCTAAGGGCAAGGCACTTGACATTTTTGAGCCTGAGTTTCCTCCTTCACCTATATATTTAGAAAAGACTTGCCACCTGAGTGTGAATGAGGATTAAATGAGCAAATATGAAAACACACCGTATGAACTATAAAGTGCTTTTCACAAATCATTAAATGCACTTATGTCTCAGACATTGGATGTTGGGCAAAACCCAAGGTAAAAGCCCAACCTGTCATCCAGCCTTGGCATTTTAAGGAGACAGAGGGCAGGCAATAATTACAAGGTGCTAGGATGGGTGCCTCAATGAGCTTGAGGAGGTTTGCATTTTCTTGGGGGTCTTGTAGGTGAGAGACTAGGGTCTAAGACAGCAGGTGGGAAGGCAAGTAAGGAAGGGTTTAGAGATGGGCTAAGGTGGGTGGCAGAGGTATTTGGATATTATCCTAGAGGCTAGGAGCCATTGAAGGATTCTGAGCATGACTGATCATATTTGCAAAGAAAAGAGCTCATCAACAGCATGGGGGAGCAGAGGGAGGCTGGTCAGCAAAGGGCAGTTGGTGGCTGTGGCAAAAAGCTCTGGTTGACAGAGACTCTGTGTCTAATAGAAGAAAAAGTAGGCCCTAATCTTCATCCTGTGGGATTAGGCCCAACTTCTTAATAAGAATCCTATAGCACAAGAATTAAAATCAAGAATCAATAAATGGGCTGGACTCAAACTAAAAAGTTTTTTATCAGCAAAAGAAACAATTTGTGAGGTGAACAGAGAGCCTATATCCTGGGAGCAAATTTTTGCCCTTCACACATTAGATAGAGCACTAATCTCTAGGTATATAAAGAACTCAAAAAGCTAAACACTGAAAAAACAACTAACCCAATCACCAAAAGGGTCAAGGACCTGAACAGATACTTCTCAAAAGAGGATATGCAATCAGTCAACAAATATTTGAAAAAATGCTCATCATCTCTAGCAATCAGAAAAATGCAAATTAAAACTACTCTAAGATATCATCTCACTCCAGTCAGAATGGCAGCTATTATTAACAACAAAAGTGGGGGGAAAGGTACACTCATATATTGCTGGTGGGACTGCAAATTGGTGCAGCCAATTTGGAAAGCAGTATGGAGATTCCTTGGAAATCTGGGAATGGAACCACCATTTGACCCAGGTATTCCTGTCCTCAGACTATACCCAAAGGACTTAAAAACAACATACTACAGGGACACAGCCACATCAATAGCTAAACTGTGGAGCCAACCTAGATGTCCTTCAGTGGATGAATGGGTAAAAAAATGTGGCATATATACACAATGGAATTTTACTCAGCATTAAAAAAGAACAAAATCATGGCATTTGCAGGTAAATGGATGGCATTGGAGAAGATAATGCTAAGTGAAGTTAGCCAATACCCAAAAAACAAATGCCGAATGTTTTCTCTAATATAAGGAAGCTGACTCATAGTGGGGTAGGGGGGGAAGAGCTGGAGGATTAGATTAATTCTAGATAGGGAAGAGGGGTGGGAGGGAAAGGGAGGGGGCAGGGGATTAGCAAGGATGGTAGAATGTGAGGACATCTTTATACAAGGTACATGTATGAAGACTTGAATTGGGTGTCAACATACGTTATGTACAGAGACATGAAAAATCGTGATATATATGTGTATTAAGAATTGTAATGCATAAAAACTAAATACATGTATAAAGGCATAAATTGGGGTGAACATACTTTATGTACAGAGATACAAAAATTGTGCTTTATATGTATAATAAGAATTGTAATGCATTCCACTGTTGTGTATTTAAAAACTGAAATAAAATCAATTAAAAAAAGAAGCTCTGGTTGAGAGGACAGTACTAGTAGGGATACAGAAAAGAGGACAGACTTGTAAAACTAACAGAAAAAAAAAATAGACTCCAAAGTTTGTAATCTTAATCACAACCTTCAAAAAGTGCAGGATAAACTAATTTTTTAAAACTTATATAAATCAGAGAGTCAGATCTCCCAGAAGACATTGTGCCTTGTCAGGGGTTGACCTCTGAGGGCACTGAAACCTGGCCAGCTCTGTTGCTGCGTATAAAGAACTGCTGAATGTTTGTGAGTCGCTTTTCTGAGAATTCTTCCAAATGTGAGATGACACACAAGAAATACTCTTTGATGTGATGTCTAGTACGACCTTAGCCATATCTCATGGAGTGTTTGGAGAAAAAGGACATTGGTGAGCTTTGCTGTGGGCCTAAGTGACCACAGAGCACAGACAGAAAAGGTACCATACCATGAGCTAGCCAGCTCCCATAGAGGGAGCTCTAACTCTCCCCTTCAATTAATGCTAACAGTCCAAGACAGTAGAGCTCCCTCCAGAGACCCAGAAGACTCCACCACCCTCAAATTCCTGAAGAATTATGCCCAGGACTGGTAGCACAATCTTGCCAGCTCCTCAAACCACAAACAGTCATACAAATGGCCACCCCAAGGGTAAGTTAGTCTTCCAAAAACATCAGTCAGGTGACCAACTTATAGCTAGCTTCCCTTTCCTTCAGGTACTAAGTCGAACAAAATTCATTCTTCTTATTATTAGTCTGGCAAATGTGACTACTGGCCCTGGGGAAGGAGAATTCACTAATGCCTCTTTATTTTCCAATATTCAGTGAGTTACAGGTATAAAGAGATATCTGCTTGTAGAAGAGATGTTTTTAAAGTCAATTGTGATTTTTTTAAAAAAAGTTTTTGTTGTTGTTAAATCAAAGTAGTCTCAAGGCATGAATAGGTTTACTATTTAAAAGAATATTGAGGTGCTTATTCTGTAAAACAACAGCAAGACTCAGTGTGACTATACCTGTTTGGTTTCTCTACCCCCAGATCTTGGTCCCTGCCTCTCCCCTCTCTGCTCTGCCTGGAAGAGAAAAAAAAAAAAAAAAAAAAAACCACCATGGGTGGGTTTCCAGGCTTCTTGCTTTGCTCAGTTTAACTGAGGGTGGGCTGTCAGGAGATTAGAATGGACAGGAAGGAAAAGACCAGGGTATCACCCTCTCTCTCTGCCTCATGTGTCTTCTCCGGCAGGGTCCAGTCTCCTTTGTGGAATGGCTCTCTGAGGTTGTCCTTGCTCCTTCTGGTAACTTTGGCTTCCTTGTCACCTTGCTGTCAAGAGCAKTTTGGAGTGTTTTAAGATGTTGTTTGTTATCACAAAAATTGGATTGGGGAGCATAATTGGCATTTAGGTGAGTTGCGAGTAAGGGATGTTAGATGTGCCCAGAGAATTGTCCCATCAGATAATAATCTGTTATCTGAGCCTAGAATGTAACCATAGTGCTGTCAGGGAAGGAGTGACCCACCTTTATGTATGTGTGAAAAGCTGGGTGAAGGGGTTTATTACTCAGCTTTCTGTTACTATAATAAAATACCTAAGAGAAATCAACTTAAAAGGAGGGATTGTTTATTATAATCCAAAGTTGTGAAGTTTTCAGACTTCCATGATAGTCATGATTGGTGCTTGCCAATCTCTGGGTTACTTCGTTGTCTCCTATTTGGCTTTCAATTCCTTGTGCTGGAATCTTCATTACATAGACTTATAACATATATTCCATGGTTCCAATTGTATCATTCTTCTGTAGGAGCCTAAATGCAAGCCTAGGGTGTCAGTAATGTCTGTAGGATTGTGCTCATGACCTCTTTGTCCCAAACAGTGTGGTATGGTTATAAGAGCTGAGGCATTGACACCAGGTGAATCTGGGTCCAAATCCTGCCAAAGTTATATCTTCTGT